TCAGTCATCTGGGCACTGACTGAGAGGCACTGACAGCAGCTTCACTGTAAGTCTAAAGCTTCACCTCGCAGCAGCCCAGTACAACCACAGGGCAGCACTCACTGGTTTCTGGTTTCCACTCTCAGTGTTTTTCTCTCATGTTGGTGTTTGGAAGTTAGCACATGCTAACTATCTTGGTTAGCAAGTTGAATCCCAGAAACTCAGACAGCTGCCAAATAACGTCCCACGAAATCCTAAATTTCACTCAGCACATCTGGAGCTCCGCCTTACATATACAAAAAACTTGAATTTTACTGTGTTTATTTATCGGATAAAATAAGTTAAATGTCACTGTTATTATTGGCTGGACGGAAACAGCGGGGGTGTCCGGAGGCTGCATCCACCAGCACAAACCGCTCTGTACGTGAGTGAAGGCCTTCGTGGTCTAAGTGGACCGGGTCCTCCGAAAGCCGGGTAGAGCGACTGAAATTGGACGGTCTAGAATTACGTCACGAGCTCTCGGTGGAGTGAAACTGCCGTCTGCTCCTTGCTATCTAAAATATAACCGGATGCTGGCGTAAACTCTCGACCGTCTCACACACACGTTTATTCAGCTGTGTGAAAACCCCGGAGGAACCCACCCGAGGGATAAATAAAGTTAAATTTAATCTAATCGAATAACTTTAACCTCAGCCAAACCGATTTACTCACGAACAAATAAAACACTGAAAAAAGCCAAACAATAACATGTTTAAGTGATCAAATTGACTCATATATCATGTTTAACCTGAGTAGCGAAAGACCGCGGGGGTTTGAAGACGATGTGTCGGCTCAGATATTTGAAGGTTGCACAGCTACATTCTTGCCTGAAAATATGTTAAAAGTTTTTTGCGACCCAGAAAGAGAAATGAGAGTAATAATAAAACTAAGCAGCTGCTGCCATTGTTGGAGACTGGAGTTGGCTGGGCCGCGCTATGAATTCTGCGATATGGTTTTTTAATTTTGTTGTCCGGGTGGAAAATCGGGAGAAATTTGGGAGAATGGTGGCTCCGGGAGATTTTCAGGAGGGGCACTGAAATTTGGGATTCTCCTGGAAAAATCGTGAGGGTTGGCATGTTTGGACAGCAGAGGCGTTACAGCTGTAGTTTTGTTTTTTGTCTGTGTTTGTGCAGGCGCACAGTCTGCAGACAGCGGCATCGGGGACGTGGACGACCTGCCGGTTCCTCAGCAGATCCGGATCACCAACATCACCTGCGATTCCTTCAAGATCAGCTGGGACATGGACAGCAGGGGCCGAGACAGGATCACACACTACTTCATCGACCTCAACAAGAAGGAGAACATGAGCTCCAACAAGTTCAAACACAAGGTGGGTCTGCAGAGCCGATCCTGGGCGCTCTGCTTTAGACGATACAACGCAGACGAACCGGTCGAGCCGAGTACGTTTTGTTTTCCAGGATGTGCCCACCAAGCTGGTGGCCAAAGCAGTTCCCCTGCCGATGACAGTGAGGGGCCACTGGTTCCTGAGTCCTCGCACAGAGTACACCGTGGCCGTTCAGACGGCCGCCAAACAGCCAGACGGAGAATACGCCGTTTCTCGGTGGAGCGAGATCATTGAGTTCTGCACTGCAGGTTAGACGGAAGCCTCCCAGTCCAAAAACCACACCTCTCCTCGCTGCTCGTGCACTGATCCCTTTGGATCGATTTGCAGGTTAAAGCATCACGAGGATCGTCTTTGAGCTAATTTACTATCACACTGTTTTTAGTCCCACTGATAAAATCGACCCGTATTTTAAAAAATTCCTTTGCAGTCGCACTATGGACTAACATACCTCATCTTCATCCACAGCCTGAATACAAGCTCAATGTTGAATGTCTGAGTCTGTGCATCTGCAGATTACTCCTCCATCCACCTGAACCAGCTGCTGCAGAAAGCAGAGGCGATCGCTGGCAGGATGCTGCCGTTCACCGTCTTCTACAGAAACCAGCAGGGGGAGTACTTCCAACAAGACAGGTGCGCCCCGCTCAGCGACCAAAACCCCGAGAGGGTTCTCCGTACAGCTGAGCTTTAGCCCTGTGTGTCATTCCAGAGATGCTCAGTCCTGCTTCTTGCTGCCGACGGTGAAAGACAACAGCGGCAGCCACGGGTCCCCCATCAGCGGCAAACTGGAGGGGATCTTCTTCAGCTGCAACACAGAGTTCAACACAGGAAAACCTCCCCAGGACTCCCCCTACGGGCCGTATCGCTTCCAGGTACCCTTTAGACCAGCGGTCTCCAACCTTTTTAGCGTCACGGACCGGTTTATGCCCGACAATATTTTCACGGACCGGCCTTTAAGGTGTCGCGGATAAATACAACAAAATAAAACTAGTACTGAAAAAAAGAAGATTTATTCATAACACACGTGAAAAGACCCAGGAAAACCGAGTAAACGATAAAAACGATAACAAAGTAACCCTAAAACTATACATTTCACACCTGAGCCTCAACTCTCGCGGCCCGGTACCAAACGACTCACGGACCGGTACCGGGCCGAGGCCCGGGGGTTGGGGACCGCTGCTGTAGACCAGCGGTCCCCAAGCCCCGGGCCATCGGCCAATACCATTTTTTACCGGGCCGCGAGAGTTGAGGCTCGGGTGTGAAATGTCTGGTTTGTCTGGTTGGTAGCGGTGGTAGTTTTATTTTGTTGTATTTATCCACGACACCATAAACTGGTCCGTGGCACAAAAAAGGTTGGGGGCCGCTGATTTAGACCAACTCACGAAGCTTGGGTGATGACATCTCCCCTTTTTTCCACTAAAGCGTGTTTGTTGCAGGGTGCTTCATGTCTTTGTGCATGTTCCTCGAGCAGCAGCCTGTTTCAGGCCTTTTTGTTGAAGCCGTTAGGGTAGAAGACATGGCTCTACATCAATGTTACTGCTGTTGTAAAAAATGATATGTCAGCTGACATGTTGTAATGGGAACTGAAAGCTGGATTTAACAGCTATTCCTGTAAACTGTCTGTTTGCTACTTATATATACTTATATAAATAATAAATATGTTTACCCCACAAATCTGAGGCGTGATAGAATAAATAAATAAAAGGCTGCCAGCCTGTTGTAAAACAGAATTTTTGATTAACTGTAAATTAAATTAAGATTTTAAAAAGTATTCAGTCCAAAGTTAATGGTGCTTCCTTTTTAAAACATCCAGCTTAGATCAAATCTGTTTTCTTGCCGTGTCTTTGCTGCTCTGGCTGTTGAACCTCACCGTGTCCGCCTTAAAATTAAAAATCAAAATTAAAATGTGAACAAATTGAACGCTTTCACTTTTTACTGATATTTTATGTCACAGAAAAGTCAAAGATTACAAAAGTCAGATATTTTTATTGTTGCAAATTTGATTTAAAAAGTAGTCAAAATAAAATGAATTTAAACTGTCATTGCTGTGATTAAACAGCAATTAAACATTTTGAAAAAATATACACTTTTTATATTATTATTACTATTTTCTTTTACTATTTACTATTATTATTCTTTCTATTTTACCAAGTTGGGTAAATAAGTTTTAAAAGTGCACAAAAATATAAAACACACCGTGTTTTGTTTCTGTACAGATCCGAGCAGATGTCCTCTTCAACAAGACCACCAACATGTACTTTGGGGATTTCTACTGCATGTACACGTCGTACCACTACGTGATCCTGGTCCTCGCTCCTGACGGCTCCAAAGGAGACGCTTTCTGTAAAGGGAGGCTGCCAGCCCTCGACAGGTCCGGCAACCGCTTCTTGACCTGCACCGAGGAGGAGGACGGCTCGTTGTCTTTCCGCCACGCTCAGGATGTCAACCTGGAGGTGATGTACACGGAGCCGGTGGATCTGAGGCTGGGAGCGGTGTCTCAGATCAGCGGGCACCAGCTAATGAGCCTGTCCACCGCGAATGCCAAGAAAGACCCCAGCTGTAAGGTCTGCAACATCAGCGTAGGACGTTAGCGACTTCAGACTGAAATAACCAGCTCGTTTGCATAGCAGCTAGCAGCTAAGCTACTAACTGAATTTACCAGCCACGCTCTGGCTCGTGCATCGTGCATCGCCTGTGCAGCGGCACACTACGAGCAACATTTGCTGTCTATTGCGACAGTGCCCTCTAGTGGCCACATCATCATGACGGAAGCAAAACAGAGGCAGGAGAAGAAGCTGCAGAGCCAGAAGTTGAGAGGAGAGATGGTGGATGGATGGGTGGAGAGGAGGAGCTGTTTGTTTTTTAGCTGCAGCTTTAAAATTGATATCAGAGCATTAACAAAATACTGGTTCTAACTGAAAGCTAATCGAGTTCCTCACTGCGTGGATGACTGCACCTACAGTCGGCTAAAACAGACTCTGATGTGGCTGAAACCAGATGCATCCTCAGTCATGTTTCCTCTCCTTCTCTATCTCCTCATCACCTTCACATGTTTTCTGTCCGCCGTCTCTGACAGGAAGCTGCAGGCAGGAAGCTCGCAGCACTTTTATCATGTGACTGATGGCTGACGTGGACTTTACAGATTAACTGCTTCAGAGGTTTTTATACTTTGATAATCTGATGAAGCTCCTGTAATTAATTCATTTTTTAACTGGATGCTTTACATTCCTGTTTTGCTCGTTTGTAGACCCCCAACATCACCAAACTTAATCTACTAATTAAAAATATTGAAACTACAGCTCCCAGAATGCTTTGAGTGTGTTGTTCGTGTGTTATTGTGAAGGGTGAGTTAGCAGTCAGCCGGTGTCTTTGTGACATTGAAGCAAAGTCGTGTCAGCTGTAAGCGGTGTGATGTTATTTTTAGAGGAAACAAGAACATGCTGTTGATTCTGAAAGGCTGCAGAAACACGTTTTCTGCCTACGTTTGAAACCAGGAGTGTGACATTAAAGGGTTAACGACGCACTCACAGTCCGATATCTATGTGATCTTTATTATTTTATCTTCGGGGTGGGACTCAGTTTCTGAGAAGTTACTTATTGGTTGAATGATTATGTCGAGAAAAGGAAACAGAGCTTATTTATGACAGGAGACGTGTGGACGGAGCTGATGGTGCACCTGATGGTGCTGCTGTGGAGCTCAGGTAGGACTCGCTCTAAAACACTGAATTTGAAGCCTCATCATTGGCCTGACTTTGGCACAAAAGAGTGTTTTAACTTTCTGGAGTCTTGGAATGAATGACATCACTGAGAAAAGCAGATTATTTATTTAAAATGCAAAACTGCAAATATAAAAATGACTTTGTGCTGGATAACAGTGGAGAAAATGTGAATCTGAAATCCTGGTTTCACAGTTCAGTGAGCTCAAGATGCTTTTTAGTGTAAACCAGGCGTCGGCAACCTCTCTGATGATGAGTGCATCTAAAATTTCCTCAGCAATCAGTGTGCCATATGAGCATTAGCATTGAATGTAATAACGCTCTATATGAACAGTTACTCACTATATAGAACAACTTCATAGAATCATATTTGTTCGCAGATGTTGGCAGCTGTCAGCGAATAGTTATCAGATAGTTTGAAACAAAAAAAGACTTTTTATCCATAACAACAAATGAACTGAACAACAGGAAATACAAAAGTTATTTATGGTCTCCTCACAACAGTGATAAGTAAAATAAACTGGGCCAACATGGCATGTTTGTTAATACAGAGACACACATGTTAGTGTGATCTCTGGTCTCCCAGTGTCCAGCGTTCAGACCTGAGGACTCATGTGAGAGGAAACCTGCTCACACAGACATGTAAACACTGTCAATAAGGCCTCTGCAATGTTCTGAAGAGTTAAACCTGTCAGGTAGTGACGTCCAGCAGGTGAACAT